AGATGTTTGTGGTGTTGTCTTGTGCGATTGCTATAGGAACGAACCTAAGCCAAGTCATATGCATTGGTAGATTCACGCCGGTGTCTTTTCAAGTTCTTGGCCATATGAAGACCATTCTCGTGTTGATTTTGGGGTTTCTTTTCTTCGGAAAAGAAGGGCTTAATCTACACGTGGTTGTGGGGATGATGGTTGCTATTGTCGGAATGGTTTGGTACGGTCATGCATCGTCTAGGCCAGGTGGCAAAGAGCGGGCCCCATCTCCGTCTAACAACACACTCGAGGAAGAAGTTGGATTAGTCAAAGCGAACGAGATTGACGAGAAGGTCTAGTGACAATCGGGCAAAGTTAATAGAAAGGCAGAAACTTATATTTTTACAAAAGAAAATATAGAAAAAAATAAAATGATAGATTAATTTTATTTGCATGTCGGAAATTACTAATATATCGTTAGAAGAGGCGACGAACCGGGGAAAGCACCAGTAATGTATTATAATGAGAATATAATGCATTTTTGCAAGAAATTAATTCAGAAAAAAGAAAAAAAAAACCTCGAAAGCTAAATTCTCTGCGCTCCTGTTGAGTGAGTCGGTCTAATTCTTTGCTTGTTCGATTCAATATTTTCTTTGATCTTCTCAAAATTTTACGCTTCCTTTCCAATTCGCAAATGTAATCTTTTGTTGGAATGGTTTGGTACGGTCATGCCTCGTCTCGGCCAGGCGGCAAAGAGCGGGCCCCACCTCCTCTGTCTAACAACACACTCGATCAAGTAGAATTAATCGAAACAAACGGGCTCGATGAGAAGGTTTAGGGATGCTTCGCAAAGTTAGAAAGCGAAAAAACTTATATTTAAAAAAAAATATAGAAAAAAAGATAATAATTGCAGATCCATTTTACTTGTATATCTGAAATTACTTATGTTTATGAGGACTTGATTGAGGATCAAAATTTCATGCACGTGCGGTTGGTAAAGTTTAAGTGGATGTGTTCAAATGGTCATCACATTAATCAAGTTGGTATCAAATCAAAAAGTTAGGTAATAATAATACAGTTGTAATAGAAATTAACTCAGGTGTGCAGTCTTGTCTTTGTCTTAATTTGTACATGAACAAATGTGCATGAACCTAATTATATATATTATAAAAAATATCTCGTTGTTTATTAATGTTTCTCCAATATTGTTTGCTAAATTAATTAATTACTATAGTATCTATATTCTATAGTAGTTGTTATTAATATAGACTATGTCATATGGTTCAAATGGAGAATGTACATGCATTGATTATGATGTTGCAGTGGCATGTAATGTAACTTCACAATAGGGGCACAATCCAATCAATACAAGTTATGGTACATAGCCCGCATGGGTATAGTTTAACGGTTGTATAGGTCAATTGGTTTTGGTGTGACACGTCGGTGTAGAATTTAGAATCGAGTACTGACAGCCGTAGTGTGTGAATTTCAGCTTCAATTGGTCATTAAGAGTGACAGATAATTATGTAATCATTAATATCGAATAAAAAAAATTCTCAAAAGTAACAGATACTATGTAATAAATGGAATACATTTAGGGAACTAATATATATAATCATATAATGTGGTTGTGTTATTAAACATTTTATATTATTATATTTGGGAATTTAGTAAAAACAATATAATTATTCATATTTAATTTTCTTTTCACGAATTTTTTGTTAAAAATAATTTTGTGGGTCAAATCATTTCAACCCTTTTGGCGTTGACTTTTAAATTTTTTTTTTTATCTTTGTTTTGTAATCTGGGCTATTGGCTAAAGAGAGAAAGGCCAAAGAGAAAATTGGCCCACAAATTCTATCTTTAACCAACACAAAAGGCCTAGTTTAATTACATGGGCTCACTCATTATCTAATCATCATTATTATTTTTAATTAAGTTATTATCTTAATCAAAATTTAATAATACATCTCCATTTATTTATTATTTCCACTTTCTCCCCTCATTGTCCACCATCTTCCTAACACTTTCCCTAATCTTTGGGATCAATTATCAAAATATTTCATCTAGGACAAAAATTAGTTGCCCCCACCATCTTTCTATCTCTTATTATTAAAATCCCTCTTTTAATAATTACTTATTTATGCATGTTAATGAGTGTTAATAGTAATTAATTTAAAGAAAAGTGGCAAGTTAGCTTAGCTTTATGTAACACGTTCGCGATTACGAATGTCGTTTGAACGGTGTTGTAAAATATGTACCCGTTTCATCACAGAATTTATGAAATCCGTCGAATTTAAAGTGTAATTTATTTGCATATAATTCTCGCTCGATTTAGAAATTATACCCTCTCGCTCAAATATAATTTGTAATCTTAACAAAATTCCATACTCGATCTCATAGATACAAATTGAATTATGCGGAAAATCATATTCGATAAAGGTCGTGTGTACGGCTTGGGGGGAGATTTTTCATATATTTCGAGATCCACCCTACAATATGGGGTTAAAAAAAAGCCGAAATAAGTGATTTTATCCCTTATAAAAAGAAAAATTGATTCTTAAACCCCTTTCATGCTCATGTCACGTCGATTTACTGCAAAAGAAGAACAACCAGTGAAATTCGATCTAATCTATCGAAAACGATTAGTTAACATGTTGGTTAACCGTATTCTGGAACACGAAGGAAAAAAATCACTGGCTTATCAAATTATCTAGATAGATTGAAATAGTTATCCATATTACACAATCATGCTATTTTAAGAATGTGGGGAATCAAATATCATCATCATTTCCTTTCCTTATAATTTCTTTTTAATAAAAAAGAAGAAAACTTGTTCAAGAAAATAGATTTTTTTTTCTTTTTTTCTTTAATAAAAAGGTATAGACTTATTTCCCTTTTAACATTTTCAGTGCCTAATAATTCAAAATAAATGTGAGAAAGTTATAAGAGTTTGGGAAAATTTTGAAACTTGATGATTTATCATTTATGTGGGGCCCTTTAGCATAATATAAGATAATATTTGATAGTCATGTCATGAAAAGTAGTACTCGAGTAAATTAAAAAAAAAATACAAATATTATCAAATAATTGGTTGGTTTTGAATAAACAATAATTATTTATCCGGTTGAAAAACCAATAATAATTTTGTTTTTAGTTAAATTCATAAATTAATTATATAGTTGCAACAAAAAAAAAAATCAATTCAAAGTAGAAAATTATTTTACCATAGAAAAAATTAAAATTTACAAAAAGAAAAAAAGAAAAAACTAAAAGGGCATCATGTGGAAAATGACAGCACCATGCACGGTCGCACGTGCGAAGCCTTTCCATTGCTTACCGCACCACGACAAAGATCGTACGTGAAATGGCAATTGTGTCCCCACTTCATTTTGCACAGCACAATCACATTTACTTCACTTCATATATAGTGAGTGCCCATTTAAGTTTATTTACCATTTTACCCTCCTAAATAAAAAGAGAAATAAATAAATAAAATAAAATGGAATAAGAAAAGAAAAGAAATCCTACATTTTTGTGACAATCAGAATATTTTTTTAATTATGATTAAATGCAAATTAAGCAAATTAAATGATACCATATATGTAAAAGGATATAATGAAAGATGAAAGTTGGAATTTTTATTTGTAAAAGTTTTACGAACATTGGCCGCGCAAAAACCGCTGACCAATAAATATATAGGACGTTCGCCGAGTCGTGACCAATCAACATTTACGAAATATATATATATAATCGACGTCTATTGGACAAATGTAAATTAACTTCTATTGCCTCGTTTACGTGTACGTCACAAAGGATATGGTTGTCGTGATTATTTCATTGTATTTTTTAAATGAAAAAATAACTTAAAACATATGGCATTTGAATATATTTAAAAATCGATTCGATTTGTACATTGTATATTTAAAAAAGGGTAAATTTCACTTTCCCCTTATACTTTGGCTCGGTATCATTTTACACACTTTTAGTTTCGATTCTATCGATTTGCCCCATGTAACTGAAAATTGTCTCAATGTGATCCTCGTTGTTAGTTGTCAGACATTTGACCTTAACACCGTTTAGTCTAAGCTCTGAAATTACAAAAAAACCCATCCCACTCAGTTTAAATAATTATTAAAAAAAATACGGCGAAGGCTACATTAAAACAATTCTTGAAGTGCAAGTGAGCAAATCGATGCAATCAAGAGTAGAAGGGGGTAAAGTAATACCGACCTAAAGTACAATGGAAAAATTTGAATTTATCCTTTAAAAAAATTATTAAACTTTTAACGGTGTACATTTTGGTAATTTCAAAGAAAATTATGGAGGATTTACTGCTAGATATTGGTAGTACACATCCACATATATATTTGGTAAATATGAACAGTGAAATAACTGTTGAATCTTGTGCATTAACGTCAAAAACGGTAGATATTGTCTAATCGTGGGGCCTACATTTGAAGTACCATATTATTATTCAAGCGTAGATGAATACTGGCGCGTGTATTCACCTCCTCTTTTTTTTTTTTTTTTTTTTTTTTTAATTTTAAATTATGTTAAAAATATTAATAGTACTAAATATCTATAGGGTGTAAATCGGACCGACCAGAGCAGTATTAGCATTTTTGGAAGAAAAATAATATTTTATTAAAAGTTAAAAAGTAATTACAATTTCTTAAAAAATTTTGGAAAAATCAAAATCCGAAAATTCGAATGAATTAATCTGTTCCAAAATATATATTTTTTAATCAAAATCGGCATAATTGAACTTTTTTTTTTGTTATTTCCATGAAATATTAAATAATATTGTTGATAATATCAGTGTAATTCCTGTAGAACAAATGTAAATATATTTGAATTATTTTTAAAATTAAAATCAATTCATAACTTAAGAATTTATATACCGTCCAATTTCGTTCCAATAAATTTTCGAAAATAGGAAATCGAAATTTTCAAATTTCTGAATAATGTTCCAATGTCGGAAAATTTTGAACTATAATTAATAGTAATCGAAATTTTCGTTCCAATTTTCACATCCCAAATTAGAATTGCATTTGATTAATTATGGGACATGGGCAAATGGTCTTCTACTATAGGGACAATTAGTGCCATTTTATTTTTATTTGTTAAATCAAAGTCTAAAATCATAGGTCAAATTGAGATGGGAAAAAGCCACTTTTATATATATATATATATATATATATATATATATATATATATATATATATATATATATATATATATATTCTTTTACTACTTGAATATGGACAATGGATTTGATTGTTGTAGCATAACTAGCAAAACCTAGGTTAATGTATACTATGATATCAATCTAGAAATTAAAGATTCTAGATAATCTTTTTAACATTTTATATAGTAAAAATACACTAATAAACTTTTTTAGGTTTATAGCCTCTAAATCTTGTCATTATAGTTAAGAACTAGCTTAACTCTAGTTTATTACTCATTACATAATCTTACATTATTGTTTTATATTTGGATATATTAATTTAAATTTTGTCATTCTTTTTTCAATAATTAAATAGATGGTTACTAATTATTATGATGCATATGAGGACAAAAATTCATAGGTGTCATTGAAAATTATTGCGGTTTGTTTTGTGGGAAATGTGTAACTAGTCAAAATAACTATCGATTGCATCTTTATCTCAATATGACGAAATCAAGAGACAATTTATTCATGAGTTTGTTTATTTTAAGAAAATGTTTTATATGGCAATAAATATTTAATTGTATGCTGACAACATATATAAAGAGTTAAAAATTTGTTGTTTTAAATGGTTAAAAATATTTATTTTTGTTTTTTGGGTAAAAAAATATGTGATAATAGAAGATCAATTTTTGTTTTTACTAAATAGTATTAACTCCATTCCATTTTAATTGTCGTTTTAGTTTTGCACAAGAATTAAGAAGTTTATTAAATGTGTTTGGATTTTATGAAAATGTATGGTTTGGACTAAAATGACCTTGTCTTTCAATTAATACAAGAGAGAAATATGTTCAGGAAATAATGTTGGAAATAGTTAATAAAGATATAAATTAAAAATTATATAATTAATTTAATATTGAAAATTCAAAGTGACAAAACAAAAAAATTCTCAAATGCGAGAGAAATTATGGGACGGGAAAAGTAACATTTAGACGGTATATAATGATAATATAAATAATAAATAAACAATAAAGCAAGTGATTTTATGATTACAATTTGTTTTAAATAAATGAACTTTGTTGCCACATAGGTGCACTGAATAAATTATGTATTTTATATAGGGAATTAAACTTAGAAATTGTTATCAAGAAAAATCGAGCTCGAATCATTAGACGTTGTGCTGCTCTTCTCGACAAAGTAGAAGAGGGCGATTAGAATCTTAATTAGTATATTAGTGGAATCAAGAACAAAAAGTAGAGGGGCAAATAGTAATTAAATCTTAATTAGAATCTTAATTAATATATTAATGGAAGAAAAAGAGAAAAAGTAGAGGGGCAAATGGTAATTAAAGCTTAATCATTCTTAATAGATGATGAATCATGAATGAAGACAATAGTAATTAATGAAAAGCAATGGAATCTCCAATTTAAAATGGACACTTCCATCTATTCTTAATCACACGTACGCGGAAACCTAGAGAGACAAACACATTGTTTTTGTAATATTATTATAATAATATATATTAATATTGAAAAAAATTCTAGAGAGAGAAACACTATTATGACCATCACTTCTAGAGAGAGAAA